GGGAACTTAAGAGTTTTAGCCACTGGACCACCAAGGAAGTCCCTATTTGTCATAATTCCTTATTCACCTGTAACCTTAAATACCCCAAGCCTCTTTGTGACTCATGATATTGTCATTTTTAGAGGAATCAAGGCCGGTTGAGGAATCAAGGCCGGTTGTTTTGTATACTATCCCTCACCTTCAACTTGGGTTTGTTGGATGTTTCCTTATGACTGAGGTTATGCATATGTAGCAGAGGTACCACAGAAATAATGCTGTCCTACTAAGTCCAACATATTATGAATTACATCATGTTGGCTTTTCTCCACACTGATGACGGTAACTTTGACCACTAGATTAGAGTGACGTCTATCAGATTTCTCACCTGGTATAAAGCTAGCATTTTTTCTCTTTATAGTTGAAGGAGCATTTTGTGGAGATATTATGAAACCACATAAATATCTTTTTTCTCATCCAGTTTTAGCCTCAATTGATCACCATTGCCTGAATAAAGTATAACTATGACGGCTGCAACATGGTAACTTTTTAAACTTTATTATTCTTTCTACATTTATTGCTGTAGTATTAACATTCTACAATAAGAATCTTTATTTCTCTCTTGTTTATATATGCTTGAGCTTAACACATTTGTGTGCACACATAATAGTGTTTATAATGTTACATACTAATACTTCTGGACCTCCCATAACATTCATTAACAAGCACTGTCATTTCTCTTTCCTTTGTGACATTTGTTCTAAATTATATTTCATGTGACATTAAAACTTATTTGTTATGTTCTTTTGATCCATATTTTTGGAGAATTATACATTCCTCTTTTTTATGGAGCTATTTCAAATCCGGGAAGATGATGCTGTGAAAGTGCTGCACTCAATATGCCAGCAAATTTGGAAAACTCAGCAGTGGCCACAGGACTGGAAAAGGTCAGTTTTCATTCCAGTCCCTAAGAAAGGCAATCCCAAAGAATGCTCAAACTACCGTACAATTGCACTCATCTCACACGCTAGGAGACGGTAGGCAATAGGAATGAAGTAAGATAAGACGAGAGGTGGAGGGGAGAACTCAATGGTGGAGACATTTTGAAAGCCAGGCAGAGACCTTTTGACTTATTTGGTAAAAAGAAGGAAAACTTTCTGTGCTCTTATGCAGATCATTTCCTGGGGACCCAGGAGATCCATAATGCCCACCCAAGGACAGAGGCTGGGTCTGAAAGGTCTTACTGTTTCTGATTATTATGCCCTCTAAGGCTACTGCTTTCTTCCCTCTAGTGCCTCTCTTTCTATTATAGATGGAAACTATTATTACTTGATAGTGCCTGAGTTAAGTCTGCTGTAAGTCCTATGAAAAAGGAAAAAAATTATGATTGTGTTTCAGTGAAACAAGGTTCAAACAAGTTGAGAATGTTACCAAAAATAACCCTCATAAATTTATTTATTGTTTGTTTTAATTTTTATTGGAGTGTGGTTGCTTTACAGTGCAGTGTCCATTTCCGCAGTATTGCAACATGAATCAGCTGTACTGATTCATATATATTCATGTATACATATATCCCCTCTGAACTGGACTTCCTTCCCATTTAGGTCACGGCAGAGCAGCAAGTAGAGTTCTCTATGCTATATAGTTAGGTTCTCATTGGGTATCTGTTTTGTACATAGTATCAACAGTATGTATATATGTCAATCCCGATCTCCTAATTCATCCCATGCCCCTTTTCCCCCTTGGTATCCATATGTTTGTTCTCTGTGTCTTGATTTCTCCTTTGTAAATAAATCCTCTATACCATTTTTCTAGATTCTACTTATATGAGTTAGTACACAATATTTTTAAAACTCCCCAAACATCAAAGTTGTTGTATTTTCTCTTTCCAAAAAATCAATCATTTTCCTCGCTGGGGTGGAGAAAATAATGCCGATGGCAGTGTGCCCTCTTGGAACTGGCCAGTTTGTTGAAAGAGAAAGCAAGAATAGTGCAATGAGAAAGCAAGCAAGAGAGAAGAATGCATCTGTAGAGTAAAAGTCCAGTTTTGGATTTTAGAACTGGATTCATTCTAGGTCATGACAAGGCAGGTTCATTAGAATGTGTTACCAAAACAGAGGGGCAATCATTAGGTCAAGGTATTCATTTTGAATTTGGAAAACTCGGCAGTGGCCACAGGACTGTAAAAGGTCAGTTTTCATTCCAATCCCTAAGAAAGGCAATCCCAAAGAATGCTCAAACTACCGCACAATTGCACTCATCTCACATACTAGTATAGTAATGCTCAATATTCTCCAAGCCAGCCTTCAGCAATATGTGAACTTTGAACTTCCAGATGTTCAAGCTGGTTTTAGAAAAGGCAGAGGAACCAGAGATCAAATTGCCAACATCTGCTGGATCATCAAAGAAGCAAGAGAGTTCCAGAAAAAAACATCTATCTCTGTTTTATTAACTATGCCAAAGCCTTTGACTGTGTGGATCACAGTTAACTGGAAAATCTTAAAGAGATGGGAATACCAGACCACTTGACCTGCCTCTTGAGAAACCTGTATGCAGGTCAGGAAGCAACAGTTAGAA